AATATGGTTTGATATGCTTGAGTCTATCGAGAAAGGTCCATTCTTCACTATCAGAGTCGACTCGGTACAAGAATAATATTTTTTTCACATTTTTTGGGCGTAGAAAAAAATTCCCCCGCAAAACTCCCTTTTTTGGGATGGAGATAATATATTGCCAAACAATGAAACATGTGTTTGCCTGAATAAATTTCAAGTGTCAGAGGTGGATTTGTGTAGATTTTTACATGCTTTTCAATATACAATACCAGGGATTAACAGAAAAAATCGATATTTCTTACTTACGGACTTGTAAAAAACCGCACGAATTAACTGGTAGACTAAATAGAACAAAATAATCAAAATTTCCGTGATGTAAAAAATATATAATAGATATGAGAACAGATTTGGTGTATTGTCCAAAATATTGGACAATCTTGTATATACGAGAAGTGTACCGAGAACGCAAAGCCTCTGATTTCAAATCTTATTGTGCGAATGTACAAGGGGCACACAATTGATTTTGATTGAAAGTTAGTTGGCAACTTTATTCGTATGTTCAAGTGAAATAAACTGAAAAATAAACTGAAAAAAAACTTTTCCACCTTGAAAAGGTGTGACGGTTAACGGAGGTGACGGATAATGGGACGACGGATAATCGAGGTTCTACTGTATCAACAATTGTTATGCCGTCGTAAAATGGTGTAGAAGATTGATCAGGAGAGAAGATAGGGAAAGAGAGACCAAAAAAATCGTCTAAATATGAGCAAATGAAATAAGCCGTACATTATTCAATTTTTGGCACAGTTCCTCCAATTGAGCGTGATTCAGAAGAATTTTTTTTGAAAATTCGTTCCTCCATCGTACCATGTAATCGAACTTAGAGAATTAAAGATTATTCAATAGGGCATGGAAATAACGTTTGTACATTTCAGTATTCAATTCTCAGTAAATAAAGTGACTTACGTCTTTATGAAACCTTCCCTTCGTCGCTCTTTCCCTAAGATACACTGCAACATTTTTGAGTGTAAAGACTAATATTGAGTTGTGGCAATATAGAGGTTTCAACTATTTTGAGATGAATTTACACCAAAATTTGGGTAAAATAGTTGAAACCTCAATATTGCCACAACTCAATATTAGTCTTTACACTCAAAAATGTTGCAGTGTAGGGATTCATACGAATCTTCCTTTCTTTTTTACGTGCCATTTTTTGCCATCTTACAATCAATGCAATATTAGCAACGGAAACTGCTACCAAACACAAAATTTCACTTTCTGAAGGTATCGCTCAACTTTTATTTCTTCTTTTAATATCAAAAACGCCAAAAAACTGAAAAATCAGAGAAAATCTAGCAGAAACCGAAACTTGCACGAATCCCGTGACAGAAAATCCGAAACTGTGAATTCTCCGCACTTGCGGGAAACCAAATTCCTTTGCACTTCTACGGAAAATTTCCCGTGAACAAAATCCGTGACCAAATCCCGTGACGATTTTCCGAAGTGTGAAGACGCCTTAAGTGTATGCTTTCCATAGTAGAAACGTCATCTTGAAAAATCAATGATTACTACATATGTGAATAACGATATACCTTGTTTGGTTTTCGAACGAAATGAATATTTATCTTGAGCTCGGAATTTACTCTTTCTGAAACATACGAGTTTATACTAAAATCCATTGTAGGACTTGAATGCATTTCTTTTTTAAAAATGGCAAAAATTTTATTTTTCTCCATATCTTTGACTGACACTTTTTGAAAAATAAACAATAGCAAATATATAAAATTATTGTTATCAGATCAGTCATTCGATCACCTGGAATCGTATGTTCATGTGTTAACCATGGTTGATCCAACCATATCTGCAGACATTTTTCAACTTATGTATTAAATATAGTTACAAATAAATAATTGGCTCGTTTTCACATTCAATTCTATTCTATCAGAATGACTAAAAAATTCATTTATCTTTTGTATTCTCTTGAATCCATTCGATATATTCACTGACTCGAGTGTAAACACCAGGGTATCCAGGCTCACCACATTTATTGCCGAAAGAAACTAAAAATCAATTGAAAAGAAGAAATTTGAATTAGTTATTTCCAAACTTAACGCTTATTTTCCTACCTATTCCAAGTTGCAACCACTTCGACTCAAAGCGCATCATTAATGGACCGCCACTGTCACCTGTTCATTGAACGTTTACCAGTTGAGATTTGATGGAAATGCGAGAATACAAAAGCTTTTTACCTTGACAAGCATCAACACCGCCTTCGCTAAAACCAGCGCACACAAAATTATCTGTGATGGGTTGGTAATATGCTCGATTGCAGTCTTCATTTCTCCAAATGGGAAGTTCCGCTTTGCGTTGGATTGTTGACTCTTTGCCACCATAATAAGTCGTTCCCCATCCAACCACCACAGCTCGTCGTGCTGGTATACCAACCGAAAATTGTACATAGCCCGAAAATTTAGCAAGTGTTCACATTCATCGAAGATTTCGTAAATATTTCAAATACTAACCCGCTAATCGATCTTTAGATGGAAAATTTGCTTTAGGAAGGCATATTGGTATGACATATTTTGATTTCCGGACAGGACGATCCAACACCATTATAGCTATATCATTGTAAAAACCAACACGTGAAAATCGTGGATGCGCACGAACTTCTGTAACTTTAAACGTAACGGGGGCAGAAGCTTCTCGATCAGTTGATAAATCAATATCTCCTAAACGAACAGTAAACTGGCGAGCGGCAAAACTGAGAATTTTCATATAAATTTTGCATAAGTATAATTTTTTTATTCTTTTTTTTTGTTCAATCTAATAGTCTTACGGCCTTTGTCGTGAATCTCTCGTGCAATGTGCTGCTGTCAGTATAAATCGACTGCCAATCAGCGAGCCACCACACCTATAGTTGGATAATTTATTCATAATTGGTTGCTACTATTGCACGAGTTCATAATGTAAGTAAAATATACCAAAATTCCACTCGCTTGTCACCGTGAAGGAAAATTGCGGCTAACCATGGCCATTCACCGGATTCGGCCTCGAGACCACCAACAACGCGTCCTGTATTTCAAAATATAATATTGTAAGAATTTGAGATCATGAATGACTGACCAAATCATACCTGATGATATTTCTTGTTGTCCACAATGATTTTCGTCAACAACGTTTCCATTTAGCTCATTTACATTTCCAATTGTGGAAACTGGACTGCTCGTAGGCCTGGATATGGTTTGTACAGGTAATAAAATTGAAGGTGGACGCTTTGTTGTCGTGGTACCCAGCGGTGTTAACACCAATGAGGACTGAGGTCTAGAATAGAAATTAGGTACATTATACTAATAAGATAGAGGATTCAAATGTATAAGTTACCGCTTTGTTGTGAACTGCTGTTCTTCATCGCCGTCATTGTCGCCAATGGGACAACAGACTCCAGGAATGAATAAACGTTTGAAACAAAGTGAGTCTCGTAAGCCAGACAAATTGAGCAATAGACTGGGACAAATGCTCAAGTCTTCGCATCGACCTGGTGTGCCAAACGGAGTTATACACCGATTCTCACCTTCTTTGCCATCGATATCATCAATTTGAGCTACACAGAAAAGAACAAAGTAGTTGCAGAGGTCTTTGATTTTTTGAAAATAAATTATAATTACCAGGCGACAGCGTTGTCGAAACAGTTGTGTGTGCTGTCAAAGTATCTTTTCTTAACCCCACAGCTTGATGTTTTTTTCGCTTTTTTTCCGCTAACGCAGCCATATCTATCTTTTCTGAAATTGAACTTACGACTATTTTATCGTTCAGTTTATCTATTTTGGATTCCTTTTCTTGGCTCTGTCCAATTCGCTTGATGAGCGGTTCTATCGTCTTTGTAACATTTTGTTCCAACTTATTAATTTTTATAGAAGTATCCGATTCATTTTTCTTTGTAGTGGTTGAATAGTCAGGGGAAAAGTCTACAGCGTGTTGAATCGTGGTCGGCTTTGAAGTGCTCAAATCAATTGATGATGATGATGAGATCAATTGCATATCACCTTGATGACCATGCTCATTGTTCACTTCCCGTGTCATGTTCAAGAAGAAACTGCCTACCTTATTTAGAGCTCCCAGAGTTTCAGTTATCCGATTGAATGCGGACTGCGATAGTAAGCGCCCTTGTTCTTCATTTTGACGACGACGGCGTCTAACATTTGGTAGGTTAAATAATACTTCGTCTTCGTCGGAAAGATCAGATTTACTTCGTGCGGAAATCTCATGTTGTTCCACATCGTAGTGGAAATGTTCACTATATGTACCATTTGTGGAATATAATGGCGGCATGTGATTCGGAACCTTAGCATTTTTATCAAACTGTACCGAATAATCTGGAATTTTTTTTCGAAATGTATTCATATAAACATTGCGCTATTAATGTTCATATTATCATTCAAGTACCTTTATTTCGATCTAAGGGTATGTAAGATGGCCTGTACGAATCACTCGTTGATTGAGAAATGCATATTGGCACCGCCAAACATGTTATGACTGTTGAAAAAGAAAACAATAATTTATGTGTTAGTCATCACGGGGAAACAGATTTGTGTACGCGTTCATATTTTGAAACGCTAAAACGTTTCACGCTTATTTGATATTCAATGTTACATGAGTTATGAGAGAATTCTCGTTTATTTGTCGATGGCTTCACTGGGGAAAGTCCAAGTTTCACGGTGACTATAGTCACAATAGATTAAACATGACTAAAGTATTACATAATTTCTTTTAATCGTACACAGTGCACTGTGTACATGTACAGACATTCTCTGAAAAAAAAAATAGATACGTACAATTAACTCGGAACTGATGACAAAAATGAATTGCTCCAATATTTTAAGATCACATCGAATAATTTAAAGCAAATATCGTTGCTACAAACAATGTGATTTACAAGATAGTACGACAATAGTATTCTATCACTACCATTATTAGGCGTGTTCTTAATATTTTATTACGTCTCTAGTTTGGATGCTGGATATATTACCGTGGTTCTCCATGGGTGGTGTAACATGGATCAGGCGAAACTTTCCTATGTTTTTTTTTCTAATTTATTCACCAAACATTCAAATCTATTTGCCCTTCAATATTATCTAAATCGTTATTCAGAAGATTCAACTGCAACTACTACAATTATTTGCATCAATCGAATTTGCAATCCATAATTAGCAATTATATTGACCTCTTTTGGTGGACATTAAAATAAATAAATGACGAAAAAATTAGTTAAAGCTAAACATTTTGTGATGGATTTAGTTTTTTAAATCCAAACGAGCGAAAACAAGAAAGGCTCATTACGAATCCGCCTTTAAAATTTACAAATCGCCAATAAAAATGACAAAACGGCAATAAAATTGACAAAAAAATTCAACAAAATCGACATCAAATCGAAATAAAATGTAACAAAACAATCAAATTAACATTACGTCCAATGAAATTGCCAGATTTAGAAAATAATTTTGACAATATACTCTCAGAATTCAAAGGAGGCAAACTAAAAAACATATAGTGTAAA